CGCAATTGCGAAAAACACCCGGTGGAAAACAGAAGAGTCGCCACCTTTCGTTATTTATCCCAAAGAGAGGGAAATGAAACGATCGGAAAAACCTAACGAAAAAAGGAAAAGACAAGGTCATCACAACCAAGTCCTGGATTCGGGAGTCGGTTACGCAAAGGGAAGGTGTTAGCACCCCTCACGTCCGTCGTACTCGACGGGATCCACGCTTGTTGTCTATCTAAGGGTGTGTTTAATTTATCTACACTAAAGGCTCACAGGACAAAAGAAAAGAAAAGAGACTCGACAGAGCATCGCCGCTCTGTGCCTACATATTCCCTCGTGCAATGGGAAAGTCAAAGTCAACGTAGTTCGGCTAACTACGGGTGAAAGGTGGGGGAAGGTTGCTCCCCAAGACATCGCGTCTTATGCCTACGTATTCTCATCTGGTATGAGGAATCAGAGCAAGCGTAGTTCGGGCTCACAAGAACACCAATTGGTTCAAATGTTTTAACCGAGTAGGGTTAAACCTTCGTTCTAGCAGTTAGGGACGATGCCTGTTTGCGGTAGAACCAAAGCTTAACAACACTCTTTTTTATGAAAAAAGTTTCCCAATTAATCCCGAAGGAAAAAGGTTTGAAGTTTGTTTTTGTGTTTTTTAGTGAAGTGAATTGATTTGGTTTGTGATTCACGTTGCACTAAAGACTATGACATAGGAACGAATGCGTCGCATATCTCCCCCAAACGGGACGTACACTAAACATTCTAGACAAGCGAGAGGAGACCCCTCACTCATCATTCACCACGTGCTTAAGGCTCGTAGCATACAATGTTCATCGTATTTATTAGATGAATTAGCATGTTTTGAGATGAGAAGAGAGACACACGGAAGGTCTAAAGGAAACTCGGCCCTAACGTTGTCATGTAAAGTGGACCTAAAGTTTGGATTAAAGAGGGTAAAATCTACCCTAATGTTAGCATGCATGGTTTGAACCTAATGTCTATCATAATCCATCTTGAACAAGAAAGATTAGAAGTCCTAAGGGAACATGGCAAAGGAAGACAAAAGAAACACAAGATAAATTCAATCACAAGATAACATGAAAGGAGAAAGAATGCATATGCAATGCAACACACAAGCAAAGGGAGGAAAAAGTGTGGGGTAAATACCTCCACAAGCACATCTCGACCTTTATTAATGCAAGAAAGAAGCTGCAAAAGAATGCACACAAAGCAAAGAAATGCAAGAAAGCAAGCAAACATGAACATGCAAGCACATCATCACTTTGAACGACAACTACGAAAGTATGCCCTCAAGTGGAAACCAAACACGCGCGCCGAAGCAATCACGATTAAACAATCGAGACCAGTGGCATATATCCAAAACATCTCACTCCTAATGCATCATAATGATATATGAATATTCGAAGTGAAACGATACCACAACAAGCATGAAAAACAGCAAAACATGCCTGCTGGCACAGTGTTAATTGATTAACACCAGGGGTTAATTGATTAACCATTGAAAAATGCGTGAAAATTTGAATATTTGAGTTGGTTAATCGATTAACCAATTGGTTAACCGATTAACACTGTTCCAATAGCAGAAAAGCACTTTTCAGCAACTTATCACTTAAGCAAACATCCACATGATCTCATAAACAATTGTGCACGGAATTAAACCATAAAACAGTGATCTAAACAAGATGTAAACACATCTAAACAGCACCATCACAATTCACATGAATCAAGAATCCACCAAATCAATCAAAGATGAAGATTAACATGATTATGCAAAATAAGCTCAAAAATGCAATAGATCTAGGATTCCAACCTTCGAAGCGGAGAAATGCTTCGGTTAATGTTGATTAACTTCGAACGTGTAGATCTACACAAGAAATATGGAATACTTCAAGATCCAAGCCAACTCTTGTAATAGAAGTGATGATCAACCAAAATCAAGCCAAATTACTCCAAATAAGCAATTCCAACACCACTTCAAAATTCAGATCCAAGTTTGCACGAAAATCAAATCGAAAAATGGAGATGATGATGATAAAGGATGAAGGTTCTAGTTCAAGAAATCATTGATTCCAATGGAGAATCAAAGAAATCTAATGGAAGAGAGCTTTGATGAGGGTTTTGAAAGTTGAGAGAAAATTGAGAGAATTGAGATGAATTCTGAAATGAGAGTGAAAAATGAAAATTAGATGTGTGAGGTTTGGAGTAAACCAATTAAATACCCCTTAGGTTTGGATCCAAATGAGAGGTTTGGAATGTGGTTTGTGAAATTTGGTTTGGAATGAGGAATGGAGATTTGGAGGGAAAATGAGATTAACCAAAATTCAAGATGATTCTAGATCATTCCCAAGTGTAAAAATAAACTTCCAATTGATCAAAATTGGTTACCAATTGTGACAGAACCACATCTGCAGTTTCCGATCCGTCAACCCCATACGAAGCGGCATCGTGTGTGTCGCATATCATCACTTGATTCAAGTTTGAATTCGATTAAAAAAATACAGGAAGAGAAAAGAAAAAGAAAAGGAAGAAGAGAGAGAGAGAGAGAGAGAGAGAGAGAGAGAGAGAGAGAGAGAGAGAGAGAGAGAGAGAGAGAGAGAGAGAGAGAGAGAGAGAGAGAGAGAGAGAGAGAGAGAGAGAGAGAGAAGTGTGGCGCATGAAACAGGGTTTAGGCAAGTAAGAAGTGATGATGTGGAGAAGCAAAATGAATGGAACGTTTTCAAACTATCCACATGGCGCGTTGTTGGAACAGAAGGGCATAATGGACTTTTTCAAAATATACTTTGTTCTTATATGGTAGATTGATTGTTTTTTTTTTAAATGAAAGTTGAGTTGAAGGTAATTAAGAAACAAAAATATAGTTAGCCCAAAATCTCTTATTCTACTCATAAATATAAGATATATATTATCTCTTTTTCAAATACTAAGTTACTTTGAAAAAAATATTTGTTTTAAATTATAAGTTATTTTAGAATGTCAATATAACATTAATGTTTTTTTTAATATATCTTTTATCATTTATTTTTCTTTCTTTTTTTTTTATTTTTTTAGTTTGTTTTTCAATATAATTAATGAAAGACAGTTTTATAAATTTATAAATTATTTTATTTTTCTACAAAATAATAATTGTATTTCTTAATTCGTGTTAAGTATCTAAAACGCCTTATAATTTAGAGTAGAGAGAATATAATGCAATTAATACTATAATCATTTGTAATTTTCGATTTGTCACGCCGAACAAAAGGCGTTAAGTTTCTACTTCTTTTATGGAAACAAAAACCGCTTTAATTAATTGCAAATGCGGAAGAAATACACGGAGGGATCAGAGTTCAAAGAGGGAATACACTTAACCAAGTTCTAGAGCATACCCTTTTACCAATACCAACTATATGGTGGGCATCTCTATTACAGTTCCTACCGATGAACATTACAGCAACGTCCTTAAAGGACTCCATAATCATCCTATAGTCTAGAACTACTGGATCGAAAACAGCATAAAATTGGACCTGATTAACACAGTCCACCACAGATAGAGCATCAGATTGAGCAAGAATCCTCTCGAGGTTCAAACTTTTCGCTACTCGCAGTCCCCGCCTAATGGCATGAAGCACTGCAAGCGCAACATCTACATTCCCTGCTAATCGCTTCCATGCAGCCAGAGTGGTCCTTGATCACCAAGGGGGAGGAGAACTATTCCCGTTTAACATACTCACAGTGCAGAAGGAGGTGTTGAGCTGTTTAGGGGCACGAATGGTAGAATCTGCAAGTAAAGTCTAATTGCACACCTTTCTTAAGCAAGTTGCACTTTGTTGGAAAAATCTTCCTTAGCACCCTCAATAGGAATTCCTTTTTTCGGTTTTGCACTGGGGCATTCCACACCTTATTCCAAAACTTGTCACTTGTCGCTCCCGAAAGCCCTGGTCTCGAGTTGGCTCTAATGATGCTTAAGCTCCGATAAGCATCCCTGACAGAATACTTCCCATTTCCTTCCTGGTGCCAAATAATTCTATCATCCAGCTGTCTAAAGGACAAGGGAATGCTGATGATTTCCAAAGTTCCATGAGGTTCAAAGGTGTTTTCTATCAATTCCCTATTCCACTTATGAAGGTCCTGATCAATAATGTCACTCACCAATGCATCTGGACCAATAGTGTGTATCAGCATCCTGCTCCTCGGACTTGGCAGTCCCGGGATCTAACTCCACCAGATTCTCAATGTTATTGTTTGTCCCAATACCTTGCGTTATTCGGGGGCCAAGGATTGTGACAGTTGCTTCTTTCCTGTTCAATTTCAGCCTCTCCTTCTTTTTCCTTACTCTCAGGTTCGCATCTGCTCTTGATTGATGAAACACTGAATAGGATTTTGTTGCAGGTTCCTGAACTTGAATCCCTCAGTCTTGATTCCTCAAAAACTATGGAAGAGGTGAGGCCCTCAACCATAAAATTTCAAGGACAAAAGGTGTCCAGTTTCCACCTCTAAACAAACCCTCATGGTAGAAACTCATTCTAAATCAAATTATATTATGCAGGTGTATCCTGGTTCATCTGTTTGATGTAAGGGACTTTAATTAAAATGTTTTAATTATTCTCCTAAATCAAATTTTAATTTTCCAACAGGAAGAAACTTATATCCTACCCCTACCCTACTCCCATCTTCATCATTTCTCTTAATACCAACATCAATAAAACACGATACAGCAGAGAAATATTCACTGCAGCACATTGTTTAAGCAAACTCTGCTAATCAAAATTTGAGAAAATGAAACACAGACAGTTTATGTGGCAGTATCATAAGAGTTCTCATAGGAAGAAATTGCATCCTATTAAACTCATAATATTTACATAAAATGTAGCAGTATCAATTTTCAATCTTAATTTTTTCAATTAACAATCATCTTATAATTTAACAATTTGCGCGGTTAAACAACAGATGATAATAATTCTGATATTCATTCATGTAGAGTCATAACGTTCAAAGGTGCTTTATATTCTCAATTCTCATTAATTTAACATTTGGCTGTCTAACATTCCCAAATCATCATCATCTTTGACGATTACTCCACCACCACCATCATCGTCATCGTCATCTTCCTCTTCCTCTTCCTCTTCCTCTTCCTCTTCGTCATCCCATTCATCGTCAAATTCTTCATCATCTTCTTCGTCTTCATCATCAAAATTGCTATACTCGGGAGGGGGAGGGCAATCTTCAGTGATTGCTTCGTCCCTCTTTATGACCAAATGTCGAATGACTCTTTCATCTTTGTCCAACAAAGTCTTGAAGTCGTTGATATATTTCACATCCAACTCGAAGTTCATCAAAATGTAATGTGCATTATAAGCTTTCTGTATTCGGTAGGACAACCTTCTCATACCCCAATCGCTAAATCTCCACACTGTTCCTTTCTTCTCCCTCAAAAATTCTGCAAATGTTCGGAAAGAAATCACAAAAACAACCAAAATAATTAGAAGTATGTTTTCATTAAAAGATTTAAAAAAAAAGTTATAATGATTTTTTCTGCTACACAACAATACTATAGTGGCCACTATAATGACTATTTAACAACATTTTATTCTATATATTTTATCGTATATAGCAATTTGGTCAATTTCTGTTACGGTATACATGGTACTAAAGCCGTTATTTTAACAACACTAGTATTAATGCCATGTAGAAATGGTAACCTAATGAACTCATTCTATAAACAATTGGACAAAAATGTACATGAAGCTGCAAATGCTGGAATATTACCTTGGACTTTCTCATTGACAGATGCAACCTCATCTTCGTGCTGCTCGTGAATTAAGTAAACAATCTCGTAGTGGCGCGCTGCATAGGCAAAGAAGCAGATATTGTGAGATAGAGCGTGTTATTTGCTCTAGAAATATAGATAGCTATAATAGGAAGCCATATTGTTTCATAACATGTTAAGGGTGAACAGACATATGTATACAAGACTTCACTCATTAGAACTTGAGAATAATGAATATAACAAGATAATAAACAAAAAAACATAATAATGTTTTTTGTCCTTCGACGCAATGACATCACAATAGATTCTTCATGACAGTCGAAAAAGTAAAGACTGAATCTTTGAAAAGAATCGTTCAACACATTATTTCTATTAAGACACGGTCCATGCCCACAAACACACACAAGAGTTGACAGCTATCGACAAACAAGAACTTATCACTTATGAGATGGTTGACATGTCATGGACAAATGATATAGAGTATCAATCTAAGTAATGAGTGCAAATTAAGGCCAAAAGTTAGCAAAAGATTGACCCTAATCCACCTGATAAGACCCAGGTTGTCCAAAGGATGACCAATGAGCATCAATTTATCGTGAGTGTTCTTGATAGAGCAAAGGTAGTGTAGCCTCTGTAGCATCAACTATATCGTGAGTGTTCCTGACATCCTTAATGTTGGAAGCACATTAAGAGCAATAAATCACTGTCATTATTCATAAATAGTTTAGGGCAAGCGTGGTTCGGAAACATTATCTGACAAGGTCATGGATGACTAGAAGAATACACTTGTTTGTGCTAGAGAGGACAGTTAACATCCGCCGGTGAGTTTGATAGAAAGATGTTGGTGGTGTTAAAATCAGAAAAGTTGACAAATAATCAATTTAGAAAACTAAAACACTTGTGACAGAGTATTTGTGAAATTCCTACAACAAAGGTTTCATTTCATATCATCACTTACATAAAAGAAGAGAGAATTTACGTACATAATTCAGCACCCATATCAGTTTCCACTTCAAGTGCCAGCGATTCGTATAGTTTTCCTGTAAATCAAAATGACAAAAAAGAAAAACCAAACCCAACACATTAATCCATAACTATTCAGCATATCATGAGACTAAAGCAGGATGAATAACTGAACTGTAACCACTCACTTTCATCCTCATCTTCAAACTGCGGTAGAAGTTTACCATTTTCCTCAACTTCCTTCTGCAAATTCCAAGTCAAAAACCCCAATTCAGTATCAGTTAAAAAATCCATCTCATAAAGATTAAAATCACACTTAAAATGAAAACCCCAATTGAATATCAACGAAAAAATTCATCTCATAAATATTAAAATCACATTTAAGATGAAAACCCAATTGAATATCAATGAAAAAAATGCAGGGTATGGATAATAATTAGACCTTTTTGAGAAGAACAGATTCAGGGAAGAACCCAGTGATTTCATCTGGTTTGGGTACAAAGCTATGGCTATCTTTTTTCTTATCTTTCTTAGAAGCATTGGTAACAAGCAGTGATAATGATCTAGGTTTATTCTGAACAGAAAACTTCGCTGAAGAAAAGTAACTGGTGGGATGAGATATGAAGTTGAATGTAAGAGAATTTGCCATGGAAGCGGTTTTGGGAGGTTTGGTTAAGAGATAAGAACCCTGGAACAGTGCCTCCATAGCGAACAACACGAGAGAGAGAGAGAGAGAGAGAGAGAGAGAGAGAGAGAGAGAGAGAGAGAGAGAGAGAAGAAGTAACTGATAAGAGAACGAATCTTTCAAATATATACGGTTTAACATTTCATTTCTATAAGCTACCTTTATAATTATTTTTATGAATTTTAAATAATATTTTTATTATGAAAAATCCTTAAAAATGTATATTAATTTGAATAAATAATTTGAATTAGGTTTTCTTGTATTCATGCTTACCTAGCTTGTTATCGGTCAACGAGTATCTAAGTAACCATAAAAAATCGTTGTAACCATAAAAAATCGTTTGTCTGTCAATTTTGATTAACACTTTATTTATTTTTAGGCTAAAACAAATACATCGTTCATTGTGAATTTTTTTTTATAATAACCATATATTGAATATAACACCCACATAAGATATATTTCAACAAAATGACGTCGTTGTCAGAAATTGTTGTTTGATATCGATATTGCAAGCATTACAATAGTTTAGGATTTTAAGATATTTTTATTATGAAACTCTTATCTCTATTATTCTCTTGTGCTTTTTAATTTGTTTGGCTTGTGTTTAGAATCCGTTTATGCGAGGGAAAGTGTCTGCAGAAGAACTCTTTTTTGATCTAGAGATTGAAAGAGCTACTCGTAGACTCAATAGTAAAACTAGACGGAGATAACAACATGCTTTAGAAATAAGAGAGGAAGGAGAATCTTCTTCATAAACACCAATCGTAACACCACTACCAAACATGGCAGAACCACCTCCACCACCACATGTTGCTTCAATATCATGTACCAATAGTCCAAGGCACAATGCTCAGTTTGCACGCACAACGGGAGGCATTCATAGACGAAAACGGGAATTCTTGTGCTTCTATACCAGAATCCTTTTACCGGTATGGGTCATGAGGATCCGTTCACACATCTCACCAAATTCTATAAGATTACGGGTGAAACAGGAGCGTTGAAAGCTAAAGAAGAACAATTGTTCAAGAGACTATTTTCACATTCCTTAATCGGGAAGGAAAAGGAATGGTATCTTGATCGATCCACTTTAGTGATGACGAACTGGAATGTGTTGGAAGAAAAGTTCCTTGAACGGTTTTTTTCCACATAATCGATTCATGGAAGCAAAAACGACAATTTCAGTGTCAGCTCAAGGAGGAAATGAATCTCTCAATGAAGCTTGGAAGAGGTTCAAATCCATGTTACGAAAATGCAAAGGCCACGGTTTCGATGAATTAACACAAGTGCACATCTTTAGAAATGGGCTCCAATATGTTCACAAGACTTTGTTAGACGCTACCGCGGGTGGATTGTTAATGGAAAAGTGTGCGGAAGATGTGGTAGCCATCATTGATAGGATAGCATTGAATGATCACCAAGGAAATCATAATTGTGGTGCACCTCAACGGAAACCGGGAATGATAGAGTTGGGAACAAATGATGTGATTCTTGCACAAAACAAATTACTTTCATAACAAGTGGAGTTTTTGATGCAACAAATGTCAAATCTTCCACAACAAATTAAATAAATGCAGGAGATTCCCAACAACAAAAAAGTGGCGAGTTGTGAGCTTTGTAAAGGAGATCATCCTACCGGGTATTGTCCTCCGATTATGGAAGAGGAAAATTATGCGGGAAATCAAAACCAAGGGTATCAACCTCAACCACCTTACCAACAAGGCAACCAAGGTTATCAACAACAATGGAGGCCTCAAGATGTCGGAACTTCTAATCGTCAACAATAATATCAAAACTACACTCAACCTCCACAAGCTCCAAATGGAAATTCAAATTTGGAAGACACATTTACCCAATTTATGCAAATTTCAATTTCTAACCAAAAGAACATTGATGCTTCTATTCGGAATCTTGAGACTCAAATTGGGCAATTGTCTAAGCAATTAGCCTAACAACCCAACTAGCCGTTATCGGCTAGCACTCAAGTCAATCTTAAAGAGCATTAAAAATCTATATTTACTAGAAGTGGTAGGGAGATTGATATGGGAATAGGTGAGGAAGTTGTGGAAAGAGAGGTAGTAGTTGAAAAAGAAAAAGAGATTGATGAGAAAGAAGTAGGAAAAAATGTTAAGGAAGAATTAGTTGAAAAAGAAAAGAAAAAGAGAGAAGAGAAAAAATAAAAAGAGTAGGAAGGGGAAGGAACAATAGAGTACTATTCCGATTAAAAAGTTACCATATCCTATTGCTCCTACTAAGAAAGAAAATGAAAGGCATTATGAGAGATTTTTGGATATATTTAGCCGATTGCAAATAACCGTTCATTTTCTGAAGCTCTCGAGCAAATGCCTGAGTATGTCAAGTTCATGAAGGACATACTTACAAAAAAGAAAAGGTATACGAACAAAGAAACCATTGTGCTTAATGCAAAATGTAGTATTGTTGTTCAAAGCATTCTTCCGCAGAATGAAGGTGATCTGGGGAGAGTAGCTTTACTTATCACTATAATGACTTTGTAACTTGCAGACAAGTCAAGGAATCGTCCTCATGACGTTGTAGAAGATGTGTTGCTGAAAGTAGACAAATTTTTATTTCTAGTTGATTTTGTAGTCACGAATATGGAAGAAGACGAGGATACTTCGATCATCCTTGGGAGGCCCTTCATGAAGACTGCAAAAATGTTGGTCGATGTTGATGAAGGCATCATGAAGGTGCGGACTAGTGAGGAAGAAGTATGTTACACATTTTTTAAAAGAGTGTTATGTTCAAGTCTATTGGAAGATGGATTTAATGAGAAAAAGGAAGATGCAAGAGTTGAATTACGAAAAAATAAGGATGAAGACGCTAAAGTGGCAATGATGAAGTCGTTGATTGGTAAAATAGCAAGTGTACTATTTTTATCGATGTAGTAATAAGGGAAAAAGTCCCAAGTATCGATCTCGAGGACTGCGTAGTAATCAACAATTGTTTTAGTATTCAAAGGAACAAAAATACCTTGGGGTTGTTTGGTAACAGATTATAAGAACAAGTAAAATAACAATAGTTTAGAGCAAAAATAAGAACGATGATAGGGAAGTGGATAAATTGCTAGTAAAGACCTTTCAAGAGTCATTTGTGAGATATTCGTTTCCAACCTTAATAAGTCAAATTTCAAAATCAGTTTTTCTTAATTCCTTAATGAAAAACCCTTTGATACTTTTCCTACGCACTAATTCCTTAGTTGCACAGAAAAATTATTAAGCAATAGTTCTGACATAAAAAATACGTTGTTACGGGATATCCCCATTCCTAGGCAATATCAACCGTAATATTATTTTGCAAAAGCATTAGGTTGACTTTCTAGACTGAAACTTAATTGTTACACAAATTCTATTTTCCAATACGAATTCACATTAATATCATTGCAAAACAAAGATATAAGATGAACAACGTAAGTCTCATAGAATAATCCCAACAAAGGTTAATACATTGCAATTTAGGACCACCCCCTAACAAATGGGGGTTTAGCCACTCATGTTCTTAATCAAAACAAATACACTTAAAAATAAAAGAGAGAAAGTCATTACAATAGGAATTGATCTTCTTGGATCATCAATTTCTTCCGCTTTTGATCGATCCTTGTTCTCCAGAAATATCCTTTTTCCGTGTAAAAACTCGATCCCCAAAATTCCAAAGTAACCAGTCTTTGCCAAAAAGCGGCTAATATATCAAAATTCAAATTACATCAAGAAATGCCTAAAATGCCCTTCGAGACAACTCAACCAACATAAAAACAGGAAAAAAAACAAATTCACTAATAGTGGCACTGACACGGGCCGTATCATGGGACACGGGTGGCCGTGTCAGGCTGCTGCTCAATGGGGCGAGTTCCTCTTCTTCAGGGGCTGCAACACGGGCCGTGTTGTGTGACACGGGCACCCGTGTTGCACTTCTGTTCTCCTATTTTCCTCTTCAAGTCTTGGCCGTGTCCCTCCATAATGACCCTCCTGACACGGGCCGTGTCAGGCGACACAGGCACCCGTGTCAGGCCTCTGATTTCCACTTCTTCAGCAGTCTTTGTCCCTGAAACGACACGGATATTGGATCATCACTTCCTTCTGAAAACACACTAAAAAACAACCAAATCACACGCACAAGTGGCATAAAATGATACAAACCTCAAAGTAAGACTTTCTCAAAGATGCTTGAAAATAATGATTAAAACATGAACAAAAGACTCGAAAATGGACAAAGCATAGAAAAACAAACGACAAATCCAGTTTGAAATACACAACTAAAACCCACTGATCAAACTCCCCCGAACTTGAACTTTTGCTTGACCTCAAGCAAAAAGCTCGCCAAACAATTTTTTTTTCTCGCACAAACGAACCGTCTCAAGAACAGCGAGTTACAATGATGATACTCATACGTGAGTTTCTTGTTCCAAGTCACTCGAGGATTAATCTCAGCACTACTTTTTCAGCATAGGTATCATACCAACATTGCACCGCGGAGAAACCACGGACCTCAATTTCCCTATCAGTAACCTCTCCGACTATGCTTTGGACTTAAGTCTTCTTTTTCGATTTTCAGCCCTTTTCATTCGGACAATCATTTTAAGGCTTTTAAGATTTTTCCTCGTATGCACAAGATTGATCAAAAAAGTTTTTGGCAATGTTATTTTCTTTGTCCACTTAGGGACGACTTTCAAGTTCGACCACCGTTGGGCTGAATAACCGGGTGAGGGTTACCCAACTTAGAAGGATTGGTTGTCTAATTGCCTTTATTTTCACCTTTTTTTCGGTGCCTTTTCTCAATACTACTCTTTTTTTTAGATCAACTTCGCACACACGATTCTTATAGATTAAGCCTGACTGTCTAGATAAACTACTATGGGTGTACTTCTCAGATCAAAGTACTATGGTACAAATCTACACGCCGGACTCGTTCCTTAATCGGGAAACTCAGGGTGTTAACACTTTACCTACATCTCAGGATTATTCCAATCTCATCACTTCACTCGCAAAACAGCTCTCTATAACAATTTT